AGTATGCAGCCCCGGACATAAACAAATGATAAAATTATTGAAAATCAAATTGACGAAAATCGATCTCTGTTCCACAGTCTCTGTTTCTGTCATTCTGTCCGAGCATATATATAATATAATGTTACATATATATTATATATATTTATATATGTGTGTTATTACTTTTTATTCTATGCCATTACATTAGTTTAACATTGTGACAGTTGTGTGTTGCTGTCTGTCATCAATATTCCCTGATTCATCGCCCCTTCCTCTCTAATTCCTCTCTTTTGAACATTGATTTTTGTGTGTTAATTCCCCCTTCGAATTTTGTCTCGTGGCCCCTTGGTTCTTTCTCTCCTCCCCTCTGTTTCCCCCTCTGTCGTTCACTGTGTCGTTCCCTCTGTCGTTCCTCTGTCGTTCACTGTGTCGTTCCCTCTGTCGTTCCTCTCAGGTTTGAAACAAGTGTTTACATATCTCCGGAGTTTTTTCTATTCTCGTTTTGGGTTCTTTTTTGTCAGGTTGAAGTTCTAGCCTCAAACCAGGACTCAAGCGGGGGTCCCATGGACCTATACCTCAAGCGGGGATCCCATGGACCTATTCCTCAAGCGGGGGTCCCATGGACCTATACCTCAAGCGGGGGTCCCATGGACCTATACCTCAAGCGGGGGTCCCATGGACCTATACCTCAAGCGGGGGTCCCATGGACCTATACCTCAAGCGGGGGTCCCATGGACCTATACCTCAAGCGGGGGTCCCATGGACCTATACCTCAAGCGGGGGTCCCATGGACCTATACCTCAAGCGGGGGTCCCATGGACCTATACCTCAAGCGGGGGTCCCATGGACCTATACCTCAAGCGGGGGTCCCATGGACCTATACCTCAAGCGGGGGTCCCATGGACCTATACCTCAAGCGGGGGTCCCATGGACCTATACCTCAAGCGGGGGTCCCATGGACCTATACCTCAAGCGGGGGTCCCATGGACCTATACCTCAAGCGAGGGTCATACCCAAAGGGGGTGTAACAAACCGACATCTAGAAAGGCGGGGCTCGGGAGATTGCGTTCGACCTTGCAAGCGTAATTTGTTGTTTCCAAGAGCGCGTGCACACACACACACACACACACACACACACACACACACACACACACACACACACACACACACACACACACACACACACACACACACACACGAAATATCGAAGCCAAAAACAGAACTACTCACATCAAGCCAGAAATGTTGGAACCGAAAACTCCAAGACATTTCTTCCTCTAATCTCCTCCTAAGATTTTTAAAGAGATCGCAAAGTCTTGCGAAAAGCCTCGTAACTCTGAGACACAGCCAGACTTTTCCTCGCTACACGCTAATTCGTCTGTAAATGCCGGGAAAACATAGAAATGTGTGACACAGAATCAAGCGTTGATTCGTCGCTGTGTAAACACAGAACAATTTATTCTTTTGAAAAATTTAATTTAAAGCAAACTTTTAAGTCGCGTTTATTTTTTTCAAGTGTTTTTGTCTTATGTAACTTATGATCTGTTTTCTAGTGTTTATGCATTTTTTTTTGCAGTATTTGTATGTGATATTTTGTTTGTTGGCTTATTTCGGCAGTTTGTGTGATGGCATATTTGGGAAGGCTTTTTTCCTAAGACTTAGAGCACACACACACACACACACACACACACACACACACACACACACGCAGACACACGCACACACACACACGTTCCTTGCTGGCCTGTCCATCCTCTTGTACTAGCGATACAGTGACGGTCTCACTTCATGCAGGGTCCGCGTTCGATCCCCGATGGCCCCCAAGTGGTTGTGCATCGACCCGTACCTCTGTTCTCGTATCCCAGCTCCTTGTCATCGTATCCCAGTTCCTTGTTCTCATATCCCAGCTCCATGTCCTCATATCCCAGCTCCTTGTCATCGTATCCCAGTTCCTTGTCCTCATATCCCAGTTCCTTGTCCTCATATCCCAGCTCCTTGTCCTTATATCCCAGCTCCTTGTCCTCATATCCCAGCTCCTTGTCCTCATATCCCAGCTCCTTGTCCTCATATCCCAGTTGTGTTCATATCCCAGCTTTGTCCTCATACCCCAGCCCCTTGTCCTCATACCCCAGCTCCTTGTCCTCATATCCCAGTAACTTGTCCTCATATCCCAGTAACTTGTCCTCATACCCCAGCTCCTTGTCTTCATATCCCAGCTCCTTGTCCTCATACCCCAGCTCCTTGTCTTCATATCCCAGCTCCTTGTCCTTATATCCCAGCTCTTTGTCCTTATGTCCCAGCTCCTTGTCCTCATATCCCAGTAACTTGTCCTCATATCCCAGTAACTTGTCCTCATACCCCAGCTCCTTGTCTTCATATCCCAGCTCCTTGTCCTCATACCCCAGCTCCTTGTCTTCATATCCCAGCTCCTTGTCCTTATATCCCAGCTCTTTGTCCTTATGTCCCAGCTCCTTGTCCTCATATCCCACTCCTTGTCCTCATACCCCCAGCTCCTTGTCCTCATATCCCAGTAATTTCTCCTCATACCCCAGTTCCTTGTCTTCATATCCCAGCTCCTTGTCCTCATACCCCCAGCTCTTTGTCCTCATATCCCAGCTCCTTGTCCTCATACCCCAGCTCCTTGTCTTCATATCCCAGCTCCTTGTCCTCATATCCCAGCTCCTTGTCCTCATACCCCAGCTCCTTGGTCTTACATGACTTATATATTCACACTGGCTTAGATTTTTCTCATAATCACCTTCAATCTGTCCTCCTCTCTGTCTGTCTGTCTGTCTGTCTGTCTCTCTCTCTCTCCCTCTGTTTCTCTTCTTATCTTTCCTCAAAAATGCTTTTCTCCTAATGAACACTTTCTGTGTATAATAGAGTTGAATGGACTTTACAATTTGCATAATAAGATCTCTTGGTATATTTTCTGTCTGTGGGATTTACCAGTAAAGTTAATTATCGTAGCGCTATCGTCCGACGACGTATCGTCCGACGATAGTATCGTCCGATTATCTCTTGACTAGGAGCTTTTGTGTTGCCATATTGTATATTGTCTTTTGATATTGTAGTTAGTTTGGAGAGCCAGTGGTATCGTTGACCCATAGAGTAATAGAGGTATCGTACCCCCTGAAGGGGAAGAGGTATTGTATACCCCTGGAGTACCAAGGGGTATTGTATACCCCCTGGAGTACCAAGGGTATTGTATACCCTGGAGTACCTGGGGGTATTGTATACCCCTGAAGTACCAGGGGTATTGTATTTGTATTTTGTACTAACCAGTTCATTCTAATTTCTTCCCTGGTGTGTGTGTGTGTGTGTGTGTGTGTGTGTGTGTGTGTGTGTGTGTGTGTGTGTGTGTGTGTGTGTGTGTGTGCGCGCGTGCGTGCGTGTGGGTGTAGGTGGGTAGTTCCACACTCCACCAGGTGGAGCTGGTGGACTTGGAGACGTCCTCGAGTGGCATCTACAAGTGTGAAGTAGTAGGTGAGGCGCCAACTTTTACCACCCACATCAGGGCTGCCAACATGACCGTCATAGGTATGTCACGGCTGCCAACCTTCTCCACCTCAGGGCTACCAACCTGAACACCTCACCTGAGTCAGGGCTACCAACACAACCATTTCTGGCATTTAATTATCAGTTATAATGGTGCCAATATACTTTTTTTAACATTTTTAGACAAAATTCTGAATCAGATGTACACAATTTTGAATTGGGCTGAGTTTACGAAACCTGTGCATCTTCTAACGATAAGATATTGATCAAAATATACTGTTTTGTGTTCTGTTTTGTGTTAAGATTGATAACGGCCCTATAAATGTACTCTATGGTATATCTCTGTGGTATACCTCTATGGTATACTCTTTCATCCATTTGTATAGTATACTTCTATGGTATACTTTTTATTCCATTTGTTTCCTACTGAATTAGATTTCTTATAATACGCACTAATCCTGATATCCCACCAGACTAATCCTGATCTCCCACCAGACTAATCCTGATCTCCCACCAGACTAATCCTGATCTCCCACCAGACTAATCCTGATCTCCCACCAGACTAATCCTGATATCCCACCAGATTAATCCTGATCTACGAGACCAATCCTGAATCTCCCACCAGACTAATCCTGATCTTCCACCAGACTAATCCTTATCCTCCCCTCAGACACCCCGGACGGGCCGCCAGTGGTGCGTGGACTGAACCCATCAGGATACAGAGAAGGAGACATTATCCATCTCAACTGCACCTCGTATCGCTCCTGGCCTCCGCCTACTCTATCCTGGGTGCTCCTTATCCCCCACGCCCACAGCAACGCCCGCAGCCCCGCCCACAGCCCTGAGAGCCACGCCTACCAACTCTCCCACATCATCGGCTCCCATGATTACCAACACCCCTCCCATAGCGCGGACTATCAGAACGCCCACAGTGGAGGAAACCACGCCCACCGTCACGCCCACGGTGCTCTCAGCCCGCCCCATCGCGCCATGGACACCCACGCCCACCACCATCATGGTAGCCACTACCATCATGGCGCCCCTAGCGCCCCTGCTCGTAAGTTTATGGTAAGTGAAGCTCAGGTACCGTGACCAGTCGTAAGATCTGGAGATCTTACGACTGGTCTGGGTCTTACGACTGGTCTTATGACTGGTATGATCGTAAGATCTTACGATCTAGACTGATCGTAATCGATCGATCTATCGACTGATCGTAAAATCTAGACTGGTCTAGTCTAGATCTTACGAGTGGTCTACATCTTACGAGTGGTCTAGATCATACGACAGGTCTAGATCTTATGAATAGTCTAGATCTTACGACTGGTCTTATGACTGGTCTTACGACTGGTCTTACGACTGGTCTAGATCTTACGATAGACCCCAATAGTTCACGTTTTGTACTATTGTCTTTGTAGAGAGCTTGCAGTAGGTGACAACATCCCTAGGTCTAGTATAGTAGATATATGTACTTATATATGGTCTAAAATGTGTTATATAAGGTGTAAGATTGCTTATTTAGGCCTAAGAGAGGCTTGGACGACCAGCTGCTGCTGCTCCAGTTTTAGACCGAAATTTTGCAGTATTTCAATAGACCGAATTTTTTTTTTACGAGTACACGAGTACTTATAGAATGTATATTTTTTGTATGGACTATCAATCACTCTTCTCTCTCTCTCTTTCTTTCTCTCTCTCTCTCTCTCTCTCTCTCTCTCTCTCTCTCTCTCTCTCTCTCTCTCTCTCTCTCTCTCTCTCACTCACTCTCACTCTTTACACAGGTGGACGATGCCCTACTAGTGAGGTACCCCCTGGCCACCACTTGGCCAGGGGGCCAAGAGTCGACGGGATCAGGTGACCTGCCCACCTTCTCGGCCACCCTGGGCCTAGTCTTGGCCACCCACCGCCACCTGGCCCCTCTAGGCTCCTTCACCCTCAGGTCAGTAGTCTACCAACGCTCCCATCGTACAATTTACAGAGTACTATGACACACAGCTGCTCACAAATATCCCCATTTTCTATGCATTTACTTTAAGTAAGTTGAGTGGATTGAAATAAGTTTGTTTTTCTGTCTTCAATACCGTGCAGGAATCAAGAAAATATCAATGATATCACGATACCAAACTCACTTGATATCGTGATACCAAATGCCTCATAAACCCTCTCATTTGATACCTACAAATAGGCCTTAGCAAAAGGGGCACTCAGCATCTCTTCTCAAATTTATTCATGGAATATTTTGAGTCTGAGATTTGGACTCGGATTACAGAGGCAGCTGCTTGTATGACTTCGTTATCATATATATCTTTTTGTTCTTTTTTGTTATCGTTGGGAGTCGTCTCACAATCACTTGGTCCCTGGTTCGACTCCCTGGCAGGGGAAGAGGTCAAGGCTTGGCTGAGACTGTTTTAGACCACTGTTGTGTCTAGTCTTTACTGATAAGTGGGATTTTTAATGCTTTGAAACGTTTCAATATTTTTGTGGTGTTTTGAAAACTCAAAATACTTATTAGACTACTAACCATGTCACTAATCAGACCACTAACTAGACCACTAACCATGTCACTAATCAGACCACTAACTAGACCACTAACCATGCCACTAATCAGACCACTAACTAGACCACTAACCATGTCACTAATCAGACCACTAACTAGACCACTAACCCCGCCACTAACCAGACCACTAACCACAGGTGTCTGGCGGAGGTGGAGGGCCACGTCTGGGCCACAGAGGTGAAGGTGGACCTTGAGGTGGACCCTGTACTGGGGCCCCAACACCTGCCCGCCCTCCTCAACACCCACATTCCCCCTTCCTCAGGTGAGTCCTACAGGTGTTAGGAGGTGTCTTCAGGTGTTGAAAGCCTCTGCGAGCAAGACCCTCTCAGGACACAGTACACAACCTACGTGAGACCAGCCATAGAAAGTGCAGCTCCATCGTGAGAACCCCATAAAAAGCACCCAAAGAGACGATTCCAGGCGTTTGCAACGAGGAATCGTGCAAGAATTGCAAGATAGCACACCCAGTAGCCTCATGAACCTGTTCACCAGTTGACTGACGGTCGAGAGGCGGGAGCAAAGAGCCGAAGCTCAACTCGACACACATACAGACCTCGTTGTGTTCCTTGTCACGTATATATATCATGATCACCTACACGTTATTTAGGAGTCTAAGGGATCCTTGTAGGAACACAAGGCTCTTGGAACTGATAGTGGAAATATTGCTTCTTCTTAATTGGTTTCCGATTGAGGAAGGAGACTTGAATTTCCCTTCTGCAACTTGCAGGCCGTTACCCGAGGCACGAGTTGTGCAACAGAGAGAGAGAGAGAGAGAGAGAGAGAGAGAGAGAGAGAGAGAGAGAGAGAGAGAGAGAGAGAGAGAGAGAGAGAGAGAGAGAGAGAGAGAGAGAGAGACAGAGACAGATATAAATAGAGGTAGAGAGAGAGAAAGAAAGGTACAGAGAGCGAGAGAAACAGTGAGTGAGTGAGTGAGTGAGTGAGTGAGTGAGTGGGTAGGTCTGGAAGGTGGAAGATATACACACACAAACAGATCTAAGAGGTACAAAATGACTGGCAATCAATCAATAATTTCTCATAATGGAACACCCAGGCCATACAAAAGTTCCCAGTGGGAGTCGACCCATGACTTCTGGATTACAAGTCCAGAGGACTTTCCACTATGCCATGAGGCCTCGTTGATAATAAGATGTGCATTAATATAGTTAAGAAAAACTCCTTTAACAAGAACACCAATTATGATCATATATAAATATATAAATATCACTATTTATATTTTATATGTTGGAATGTATTTGTATATTTATATCAATATAAAATTGTATATAACTAAGCAGTTAAGTTCACTGTTCTGTGACGGATCCAAAATAACCCTACACATCGAAATTAGTCCCTGAAGCTCACATTAAAAGGATAACATCAGCGGCGTATGCAAGGCTGGCTAACTTAAGAACTGCTGTCAGAAACTTGTGTAAGCAATCGTTCAGAACCTTGTTTACCACGTATGTCAGACCAATACTGTATACATGTTGCTAGTGGGAAGCTCTCTCTCTCTCTCCCTCTCACTCGTTACTGACTTACACCAGCTAACTCGAATAGAAACCTCTTCTGTGAGACAGACTCTAATGTTTTCGACAATCGAGAAATAGACAGTCAAACCTGATTGGTATCTAGAGACTGCATTTATCTCTTCTAGGTGTTCTAAGTGACTGCTTCGGACCAGTCTCTCCAGTAACTGACAAGGAAGGATGCGTGTTAGTGACACTGGTCTGTGGTACAGCAGTTTTGACTTCTTTAATTTGATAACACAGCCAAGGGACTACACAGTACATCCACCGCCCAACCCCCAGAGTACTCATAAATGTTGTGTGAATTCCAAAATTACTGTTTAAAAATAATTGTTCATGTATACCGAAATATGCTATACATACACTTGCCTGTATGCTATACATACACTTGCATTTACTCACCTAGTTGAGCTCTGGCTCTTTGGTCCTGCCTCTCAACTGTCAATCAACTGGTGTACAGGTTCCTGAGCCTACTGGACTCTATCATATCTACACTTGAAACTGTGTATGGAGTCAGCCTCCACCACATCACTGCCTAATGCATTCCATATGTTAACTACTCTGTTTGTAAATGCTACATTTATGCTATTCAGGTTATAATTATAATGATAACAAATGTGTATTATGTGATTATGACTCCTTGTCAAATTAATAATGTAATTACATTTCTCTTGTGAATTAAATACAATCAAATGTACAATCTTCTATGAACAAAGCTTTAGATTTGGTTGTGGTTCTGCAGGTTGTGGGCAGCGAGGCGGGGCAGCCGTGTTGGTGTGGGTGATGGTCGTGGTGGCGCTCTCTCTGACCAAGTGACACTCAAACCCACGGAAACAATCACTCAAACGACACTATAGAAAAGTCTGTCAAAGGACACCATAGAAAAGGTCTCATCACCGGATGCACGTCACACCGTACACAAGACCTATTCGCTAACTGATTTTGAAACCTACCTAACTTGACCTAGCTCAACCTAACCGAACCTAACCTAACCCAACCGAGCGAAATACAGCCTAACCTAAGCTAATACATCCTAGCATAGCAATATACACGGTTTTATCAAACAGAAAACGAGTTTCGACGAATCATCTAGTGTTTGAAACGGGGAGCCGGTCGTCCGAGCGGACAGCACGCGGGACTTGTGATCCTGTGGTCCTGGGTTCGATCCCAGGCGCCGGCGAGAAACAATGGGCAGAGTTTCTTTCACCCTATGCCCCTGTTACCTAGCAGTAAAATAGGTACCTGGGTGTTAGTCAGCTGTCACGGGCTGCTTCCTGGGGGTGGAGGCCTGGTCGAGGACCGGGCCGCGGGGACACTAAAGCCCCGAAATCATCTCAAGATAACCTCAAGAAGATCATCTCTGAGAGGGTTATATTCCAGCTACGTGTTCGGTTCCTCTCAAGCAAGTGACCCGGCAGTTATATGCCATTTCTACACAAATTACATACATCCTAATTTCTTTATGAGCGAGTTCCTATAGATAATATAATTAATAATTACCGTTGTAAGGGTCAGCCAGACTTCTTAGGTTTATCGAAGTCTCTCCTCCATAGGACAATTGCTGCCCGTGTCCCAGGATGCAACCCCACAACAGTTGCCTAATTCTCGGGTATCTATTTAGGTGGACAAAGCGGGTGAAACGAAATGGGCCAAGACATAGCTGGGATCGACCTAGGGGTCCTCGATTGCTAGGCGAGGACGTGGACCTACGCTACATGACTTACAATAAATGCCAGATCTCTAACATCAATGTACAACGATATATCCCTACATATAATTTCTACAAAATTTGAGGCATTAATTGCAAAGCGTTTTCAAACTATTTTCATGATTATACAAGACACACAAATGAATTATAAATTCAAATACTACACCATACAATGGTGAAAATAATTTAGACGAGTTTACCTTAAATTTAAGTGCATCAGAGAAAATGAAGATATTGGCTAGAGGGGAAACTAATATAACCACGGTAATGCATATGGGGCAGTAGCTTCAAGCTTAAGCCATAACATAACTCTCACAAGGGGCGACAGATTCAAGCTTTATAAGACATCAACAATGGGGGCCTCACGGCTGAGTGGAGAGAGCTCGGAGGTCGTAGTTCTAATGACCCGGGCTCAATTCCCGACCAGATGCACCTGTTCACCTAGCAGTAAATAGGTACCAGGGACTTAGACAGCTGCTACAGGCTGCTACCTGGGGGTGTGTAACAAAAAGGAGGCCTGGTCGAGGACCGGGCCGCGGGGACGCTAAGCCCCGAAATCATCTCAAGATATGCTAAATTATAGCTAAATATACTGAAGCCCAACACAGTATAGCAAAATACAAGATTTTGTGGAAGCCCATCATAGTATATCATCATCCTAAAGTAATCCAAATAATACAAAACACTTCAAACTTGTTTAAAACTCTGTGGATGAGTGGATGGTGCAAGTTTGCTAAGTTTTGCACATTTATTGTTATTATATATATATATATATATATATATATATATATATATATATATATATATATATATATATATATATATATATATATATATATATATATATATATATATATATATAAAGAGTTTTTACATTCTTGTACAGTCACTAGCACACGTAGCGTTATGGGCAAGTCCTTAACACTTTTACGTTCTACAGACTTACTATCTCGTCACTCATTTTTCTACTGAATACGTTCCAACGACGCATCGGTGAGTCGCTTGATATAAAAATTTGTAAAAAAAAAAGTTTCTATGCGATCTTCATTTTTTTTTAAATGAATGCCATTGTTTTCCCACAATCCTCCGTAGGCCGCATGGAATTCTGGGTCACGTTTCGGGCAGGTCCTTAATCCTAATATTTCCCGGAATACGACCCGCCAAATCGTTTAACAACCAAGTAACCATTTTATTGTTGGGTTAATCAGTGACTACAATTACGGATTTTCGCCCAGTCAATCCTCCCTGACCAGGATACGAACCCAGGATAAAGCGCTCGCGGAACGCCAGCCGAGTGTCTTAACCATTACACCACGGGGACTGCATTCTTACATTAAGTGTAAGCGTAAGTCACGTGCTTAACGTGCTAACACGTGCTTAAGTGTAAGTGTAACTCTTTAAGTGTAAGTGGTTCCTTAACGCTGAACTAAAATACTATTGAAATCCCAACTAATCCAATTGTTTACTAGATTCTTTTAGTGTAAATTACACCAGAACAGTCTCAATTGACTTACTTTACATCAGTCCTGTCAGTACTACCTACTACGAACTACTTAAGAATGTAAGAACAACGACGTTCTTACATTCTTACAAGAATATACGAACTCTTGTATAAATAACTAATAATAATAAAAGAAATCATCTCTCTTAAAGTAAACAGAAGAGTTAAATCTAGCTGAATTGAACACGTTAGAAAACTCTAAAATAAATCTATATTCTAGCACTATCAATGGAAAGATTCAAAGACCCTTAATGATAGCTGACTACCCTAGATCAGACGCAGGATACGTGCCTAATATCATCAAACACTTAAAAATATTAAGAAAAAAGGAAGCATCAGTTCTGAGATCAAAAGGATCTAACAGGCTTTCCGGAAAGACGTTTTGGAGTAAAAAAATATATATTAAATAATGATGACCAAAACCACACAACAGAAGATGAGGAGACGACGATGTTTCGGTCCGTCCTGGACCGAAACATCGACACGACGGACCGAAACATCGACACGACGGATCGAAACATCGACGCGACGGACCGAAACATCGACACGACGGACCGAAACATCGACACGACGGACCGAAACATCGACACGACGGACCGAAACATCGACACGACGGACCGAAACATCGACACGACGGACCGAAACATCGACACGACGGACCGAAACATCGTAGATTTTTATCATGTTCCGATATGTGATTTGGTTATCATATCTTCAGCCACGTTATTGCGACTCATCGTCTGTAAACAACAATATAAGCTCATTCTCAAGCATATACAAGAATATTACATATTTTTTCACATATATTAAGAATATTACTCATTATAAAGCTTAAAAAAGAATATTACATATGAGCATAGTAATATATTGATGGCTTGTATAGGTAAATATTCAACCCTGAACGATATATACTCACGGGTATATATCGTATATATATCACGGGTATATATCGTATATCTATATACTCACGGGAGACATCTCCCGTCACGAAGGTGCATCCGCACCTCCACAGATCTCCAGTATCATCTATTGATACTGGTAATGGCTCAAAAGGGCCACCACTTACGGGCTATTCATGCCCGTGCCACCATTTGGGTGGCTTAATCTTCATCAATCAGTCAATCACTGAACGATAGTGACAGGTGAAGGGCAGATGTGATTAAACCTGTCCTAACTACAGCTGTATGTGACCCCGGCACGTACCTTTCCCCTAGTAACAAACACCTGTACTGTCTGTAACACCTGTCTGTACACCTGTTTGTACACCTGTAACACGTGTAAAAGTTGAAAAAAAAGCTGCAAAAACTAAACAAATCTAGGATAACTGATCAGTATAATTAAACAGGCTAATTATCCTGGATAACTAGCGAATTATCTTGGATAATAAGTCTGTTTAATTATCCAATATTCCTACTTTTCTAGTCAACGTACTGGCTAGTTAACTGTGACAGTCTCGAAGGGGCACTTAAGACTTTAAGAAGGCTACTTAGAGCCTCAAGACGGAAGTCAAGACTTTCTACACCAAAGTTGATATTACTTATTTGTCAATATGTTTATATTGTAGCCTTATTTAATAGATCATTTACGTAATACGTGTGACTGATTCAGAGATAATGATTATTATCTAACACGTGAACAACATGTGAGCAAATATGAACACATATGAACAGTAACATGAGTATATATTTGTGTTTCATTGTATCCTAACTTCTCCACAATTCCTATCGTCTGAGACTGAATTGAGTAGTGTTCCAGGAAGAGAGACCTCCATATACGCGTGTACCGGACTGCTGTACCGGACTTAACCTATACCTGTAATAGGTATAGGTTAAGTAATTATTACAATTTACAAGGTATAGATTAAGTAATTATCACAATTATTACTTAACCTATACCTGTAATAGGTTAAGTAATAATTGTAATTACGAAGCAATAAGATGCTTATCTTAACATACTAAGAAGTTTAGGTAAGGTCGGTGTTTTCTATGAAGCTTTTCAAGGTAAACAAAAAAATATTCAAAATAAATCCACTATATCTATATTATTATCTAAGAAATGTATTATTTCTATATCATATCTAAATCATAACAAAATCATATCAGATTCAACAGATTCATTATACATTTGGATCCTACAAGACTGCCACCTCTGATCACGTACTACCATAGGGCCCTTGGTTGCCTATGTGACTTTGTGCATGATTTCTCTAAGGATCCAGAAGCTTCTAGAAGGATTTCTTAATTTAAAAACTATTGGAACAATTAAATCGATTTCCGGTAGGGATTAAATCAAATCCTTAATAAGAATCAATAGTACTATCCAGTCTACCTTATAATCTTTAAATCCTATATCTAATTATATTATAATCACATCTTATCTCAATCATATGTCTAGACAGTAAAAATAATCAATCAATATTACAGTCTCCGTGGTGTAGTGGTAAGACACTCGCCTGGCGTTCCGCGAGCGCTATGTCATGGGTTCGTATCCTGGCCGGGGAGGATTTACTGGGCGCAATTCCTTAACTGTAGCCTCTGTTTAACGCAACAATAAAATGTGTACTTGGATGAAAAAACGATTCTTCGCGGCAGGGGATCGTATTCCAGGGACCATAGGATTAAGGACTTGCCCGAAACGCTACGCGTACTAGTGGCTGTACAAGAATGTAACAACTCTTGTATATATCTAAAAAAAAAAAAAAAAAAAAAAAAATTCATTGAAGGCTACCATGCTCAGGAAGCATAGGGGGGACGATGTGGGAGAGAAGCGCCCCACCACGTCTCAGGCCAGAACGCGTGTATTTACAAACAGGAAAACGTGTGACGGTGTCTTGCGAACAATTATTCAGCTTAGGACACCTTATCCAATTATCTTTATCACCAGTGATTACTCTCTAGAACTGGGGGAGTACCTGGACAATATATCTTCAAGGAAAATTCCTAGAACATTTCTATATAAGAATCTTCAAGGAAAATTCCTAGAACATTTCTATATAAGAGTGTAGAGTGGAGCACACAAAGTGACTTTGTCTCCACCATCACCACCTATCATCCTACTGCAAATGCAATTAAGTGCATAATCAATTAGCAACGCTACTAAAACATTATACAGCAAAGCTGTGACATAAAATATCATGCCTAAACTCAACAAGAGAGTTATCCGGTCTGGCACACTTGTCAGACAGGCACCCGGCATTCAGAGAAGTATATTGAATGCTATTTAGTGTATTAATTGGCCAATTGTATGCTTAAGCTAAGGATTATTCTCCAAGGTCTGAAGTGAAATGCTCTCAGGGGATGAGTATTGCTATGCACTCAGGGGATGGGTATTGTTATGCACTCAGGGGATGGGTATTGCTATGCACTCAGGGGATGGGTATTACTATGCACTCAGGGGATGGGTATTGCTATGCACTCAGGGGATGGGTATTACTAGGCACTCAGGGGATGGGTATTGCTATGCACTCAGGGGATGGGTATTACTATGCACTCAGGGGATGGGTATTGCTATGCACTCAGGGGATGGGTATAGTTATGCACTCAGGGGATGGGTATTACTATGCACTCAGGGGATGGGTATTACTATGCACTCAGGGGATGGATATTACTATGCACTCAGGGGATGGGTATTACTATGCACTCAGGGGATGGGTATTGCTATGCACATATTCATCTAATAATGACCCAACCACACACCAGAAGATGAGGAGGCGACGACGTTTCGGTCCGTCCTGGACCATTATCAATTCTATTGTGATTTTGCGATTTGTAACCATTAGGCAAATTGTTGTTGTAAACAACCTCGGAGTATTTAGGAGCTCATTAACTGTTAAATAACTGTAAACGAAGCCGCAATTATTGAGAAAAGATGCACAGGTTTCGTAAGGTGGAATGCACAAATGAGAGCAGCCTCGTTCTCTAAATTCGCAACTCCGTAAAACAATTGCAACTGTTTTGCCTAATCAGTAACATATGAACCCAAACAAGTCTTCTAAGCTATCAAGGCCGACGCATTCATAACGTCAATATTTCGGTGCTCAAATGATAACTAATATGTCACATTTTATTGGATTGGTCGATTCGATTCCGTGCAACATACGACGTGTTCGGTGGACGGAGCGGGTAGTAGAGAGCGCGCATCTATGTCTCGTACGTGCTACAAAACTACTATGCCTCATACGTTGACAGCTGGCTTGCTACTGTAGCTTTGACAGCTGGCTTGCTACTGTAGCTTTGAC